CCCCCCCCCCCCCCCCCCCCCGCAAAGATCATATGCTAACATCCTAATCCCCTATGTGATTGTATTAGGAGGTGGGGCTTCAGGAAGGTAATTAAGTCCTGAAGGTGGAACCATCATGGATGGCATTAGTGCCCTTTTTAAAATAATTTTTTTAAATGTTTATTTATTTTTGAGAGAGAGAGACAGACTGTGAGCAGGGGAGGGGCAGAGAAAGAGGGAGACACAGAATCTGAAGCAGGCTCTGGGCTCTGAGCTGTCAGCACAGACCCCGACGCGGGGCTGGAACATACAAACTGTGAGACCGTGACCTGAGCTGAAGTTGGACACTTAACCAACTGAGCCACCCAGGCGTCCCTCATTAGTGACCTTATTAAGATGAGACATGAGAGCTTGCTCCCTCTCCTCCCCACCATATGAGGGCACAACAGCAAGAAGACAAGTCACCTGCAACCCAGGACGAAGGTTCTCACCAGATACTGGATTTGCTGGCACCTGATCTTTGACTTCTAGCCTCCAGAACTGAGAAGTGTTTGCTGTTCCAGCCACCCAGTCTGTAGTAATTTGTTAGAGTAGCCCAAACTAAGACGGCACAGATGAATTAAATCCACCGACACCCACAACAAACATTGAATTTTGGCTTTTAGTTTTAATTTTCTTCTCAGCCAGAGACTCTAACACAAGTAAGCCAAACCACTCTGAATTTCAGAAACTTTCTTTTCTATCTCTGTCATAGGGAGTTATGAAAATGGCTATTGAAAAATGTGAGCAAAGGGAGAGGCAACAAGACTCATCTGACCACACTGTAGACACCTGTGGAAAGCGGGGGTGACACCAGCTCAGGGTGAGAGACAAATTGCAGATTGGGCTCTTAGCCTTACCTTTGCCTGAAGGGGGATGGGGACCGACTTGGTAGGGGCCAGGCGCTGGGACAGTTGCCATATATACATTTGCACTTAATCCAACAACAGCCCAGTGAAGTAGAAGTTCGTATCTCTGTCTTACAGAAGAAATTAGAGTTCTAAGTATCATGGTCAAAGTCACACATCTAGAAGTGGTGGGACTAATATTTGAACAAAGAAGAACTGAGGTTCTTCTATTTGCTCTGTAATTTGAACTGACAGATGGTTCTGAAAGGTTCTGCAGGGTGGGAGCCAGAACTGGTGCTTGGGCAAACCAAAGCCACAGGACCTCTGGCATCATGGTGTAGGAATCAGCGAAAGAATTAGCTTTGTTAGGCAGGAACAAATCATATGCAGAGAGGAGGAGAGACCAGAGGCTGCTGAGGGAAAGGTTTACGTGCAGGATTTACAACTCCAGATGCACGAATCTCCTGCCCAGACCCACTAATGAAAATTGCCAGCAATTTTTGTAGAGCTCCCCTTGTGATTCTGCTGTGCGACAGTTGAGCGTCCTGAAGTAGCATAAAGTAGGATTCTGTTCCTTGCCATTTTACAATCCCACACTGGCCCTTTGTGCTTTCTACTACAGTTTATTATATTTCCTAAGCATAGAAATATAGCAGTTAATTCAGGAGCAAGATAACAAAGAGAAAGGGAATGCAAAGAAGGAATCTGAGGCAATGGCTTATCTCCTCCCAGACCAAGTAAACTGACATTTTTGTAGATATGTTTGTTCAACACTATCAGAGTTTGCTGACGGAATGTAAAATCTCTTCTCCTGGATGGTTGCAAAGAGGATATATTGCCACCTGCCAGCAGGACTCTGTCTTCTTGGAACATTCTTCAGAAAATCTAAACTAATCCTTAATGCTTGGGAAATGTGAATTTGTCTTTAAAAATTTTTTTTAAAATGCAGTCAAGTATCAAATCTGACCTCAAGGTGGGTGCAGAGGGGCAGAGGTGTACTCAGTGTCTTGGTGGCATTCAGGCAAAACATCCTTAACAGCTGTAAAGAAACCAAGAAGAGAGGGTTAGGAAGACCATAAGTGAACATAAGCTATCAGTGGTTTTGTCCTTTTCATGGCTTCTATCAACTTAAAAAATATTTTCAGGCACAAAACCTTCTTTTCTTGGTAGGATAAAAATACAGTACTCACATTCCAAACAAGGCGTTCTAAAAAAATTAAAAAATAATAATAAACATAGTGAAGCACAAACCATTAGAAAACAGTCTTTGTCCCTTGACCCATACTTTGCTTTGAATTGGATATTTTGTGATTCAGGGGACAATTAGGTGGTTTATGAATTTCCCAGATCTTTGTTGTGATGGGCTGTGGAACAGAAAATGATCTATCCGAGTTAAGGCCAGTACAGGTCTTACAGGTCTTACAGTTGAAGTATCCTTGAGCTTTAAAAGATGAGAAGTTGAGTATAGAAGAGTCTAGTCAGTTCATTCTGCAATCCATTGGGAACGGTGGCAAAATACGCATTAGTAAGAGAAGTTGAAAAATTTGAATTTTCAAATTTGAAGTATGATTTCAGGTTTTGGTGTTTTGTCAGGTACTTAGTGAATATACCAATGAGGATAAGGGAACATCCACTTATTCAAAATATTATTCATAGAACAACTCGTCCATGCCAGGCACTGTGCTCAGCACTGAAGAGGAGAGAGCCCTCGCCTTCGTGGTCTGTTTTATTCTCTCCAGGATTCATTCTTTAGGACAATAGTCAGTTGTATTTTTCAGAACAAGCCTTTACCCTTGAGTTATGTGCTGTCACTTATGGCCTGATACAGAGCTACTAATAGCTCTGAGGGTACCCTGCCTCAACCATCTATCCAGGAATACATCTGCTTCACCAAGTATCCAAAAATATGACTGAGGCTCCTGTTCAGAGTACTAAGTCTAGGGTTCATGATGGAATTTTCCATCCTGAAGAAGAGCTTAAATCTTAATTAGGTCTCCTCTGTGGTTAAAACAAAACAAAATTAAAATCAACCTATAAAGTTATCAAAGTACTTTGATAATAGTACTATACAATATAAAATCTATATTAGTCAAATTACCGTTCTCACTCATGGCCTATGAGGTTTATATATAAATTAAAAAAAAAGTTTCCTGCCACTTGAAGTAAAGGCATAGTAAGAAATCAAACCAAAGCATATCTGGAAAAGCCTACCTGGTGACTCTTAGGATCCACAACTGACATGGAGTCGAAGAGGTCAGTGTGATATCTCAGCCTGCTAAAAAGAAAATCACATTAATATCTGGGAGGGGTGCCTGTGTATGGGTGGAAGCAGGGTGGGACTGCGGGTTAGGGAGGGCAGCAATTATAGTCCTTCATCAAGTCAGGGGAAACCCAATGGAATTCGGGGCCATGTTTCCAATTTAAGAGATTTGCCTCTGGGGCGCCTGGGTGGCGCAGTCGGTTAAGCGTCCGACTTCAGCCAGGTCACGATCTCGCGGTCCGTGAGTTCGAGCCCCGCGTCGGGCTCTGGGCTGATGGCTCGGAGCCTGGAGCCTGTTTCCGATTCTGTGTCTCCCTCTCTCTCTGCCCCTCCCCCGTTCATGCTCTGTCTCTCTCTGTCCCAAAAATAAATAAATGTTGAAAAAAAAAATTAAAAAAAAAAAAAAAAAAGAGATTTGCCTCGTCAGTTTTTCAAGAACATTGTCTAAGTTGGTGGCTTGTTTATTTATATCTTGGATTTATGGATCAACTTTCCTCCAGAAGGGCTCTCTGCTAAATTTGAACATAGTTTAGATTTCTTCTTCCTGTCAAGTCTCCTACCTCAAAAGAGAGCCTTGTTGTCCTGCTGTGTGTAATGATGGCATTTGTAACCCCATTTGACATGTACATTTATTGTTGCATATTCATGCATGTTTTTTGGACGAAAATTGAGAAGAGATTGACAACAATTTTCTGGTGGACACAATGTGTTCTTTCTTGCTCTGTAATGTGTTTTTCCATTTGCTCCCTGCTCCGCCTCTTGGGGAAGATTATTTTCCTTTCTCATCACCTGTGTTTCCTTCTCGGCCTTTCTGGCTGCTCATCTGGGCTGTTTTCCACCTTGCAAACGTTTAAGCAACTCACAAATTCAAACTTCTCTGGTCACAATTTTGAAATCACAAATTAAATGGGTCTGTTAGCTCAATAAACTCTCTTCACTTTAAAAAAAGAAGTAAAAATAAAAAAGGATTAACAGGCACCTGGAAGAGAGCTTTATATCTTGGCAAGAAAAGATTAGGCTTTTCTCAAAGGCATCATGGGATTTAGTGAAGAAAAGATGCTATAGAACTGGCCAAATATTAATAATGAGATGGCCAAAGCCATCCTAATTATTTGTATGTGTCCATGCATGTTTGTGGGCCCAGAGAGAGCTAGTAGTTAGGGGACCTTGCACTATAGTTCACAGGACTCTGCTCTGCTGTGTGGATGCAGCTGCCAGTAAGACTCTTCCTCTGTAATGATTTCCCACTCCTCTTTACAGATGGTAAACTTCCAGGCTTTTAGACTTCTAGAATACCGGAGACTTCTAGAACATTCTGTGGTTGGGTTACCATTCTATAAATTAAATACCATGTGTGCTCATGCTTGGGAGAGAATTGGTCGCCACACTGCCAAATGCTTAACTTTCATTTTCTTTACTAGATTTACATGAGTTTCTGAGAACAATGGGAACCTCCAGGAGGGAGCCACTTGCCTTGTGAAAATGTCACTCCTTACTTCTACACGGGAAGCCTGGGCCATCCAGGCTCTTGCAAGCCTTTTGACACCAAGCCTTCTGTGTCCTCCTGGTAGCAGGTACATTCAGGCTGAATCTGCAAGTGGGCCAAATCAGTAGAAGAACAAAGTCCACAGAAGCTGATTCCTCAAGAAAAGGGTTACTGAGTGGGATATGTTTTGTCTTTCTATCCCTAGCACCTAGCATAGTGCCTGGCATGGAATAGATACTTAAGAACAGTTTGCCAAATGGCTGAATGAATTTGAATGACTGCTTTCAATGGCATTGCCAATGAAGACAGTTGGCTTGACTGCCTTGTGGCAAAAAGAGGGCCTTTTGAGAGAATCCTAGGCCTCATTAATCTATCTATACAGTTTAATACAGGTGAGTACTTCTTATATGTCACTGAGCACTTTTTTAAAATCACCTGATTCATTTGTACTCTCCACCTACCCAACTGGGCCTAGAATGTAAGTTCCAAGAGAGAAGGGACATTGCTTGTCCTGTCCATGGCTCTACCTTTAGCTCTTAGAATGGTGCTTAGGGACAGAGAGGAGCCCTCAAAATGTGACAGAATTTTCTGCTGACTAGTATTGCCCAAGTTGCAAATGGCTCCAAATCATTCCATGTACTGAAACCAAGTGGTGGCTTGGGGAGGTGGCTCTTGTGTTGGGCTTGGGATCTTCTGTCACGGACCACATTTTCATCTGCTGATGAGCCTGGCTTCCACCCCCGTCCAGGTTCTGAGCTGACCTGCATCCCATACCAGCTCACTGGATTGGAGCAGGTGTACAAATTCTGCGGGTTCTCCATATTTTCTCAAAGTTCAGTTTTTAAGATATAGAGTCTAGCATTCCTTTGTTTTAGTCACTTCTGTTCTTATCATATTTCAAAAAATCCATAAAATGCCAGAGTTCAAAGGTGCAACTTCTCTCAAGTAGAAAAATGCTTGACTAATGTCTTTGACAAAACCGTTTTCTCTGTGCCGCTGGGTTAGGATGGGTCTCATAAACCTCCCAGACTTCAGGCTCAAAAAGAATAACTTCCAGACTGCAGGCTGCCTGCAAGATTTCCCCAGGCCTCTGGAATGTCCTTTATTTTATAGTTGCTTCCTCAGTCTCAATTATGGACCTACTTTCCGTGACAGAGAGGGAGAAGCTAAGAGGGTGAAAGATATTTGCATAAAATGCCACGGTTTACAAAACTATTTCATATGTTATCTTTTAAAAATCTTTGCCATTAAACCGTGAAATATGTGTCATCCCAATTTTAGAGATGAGGAAATAGGGGCTTAAATAAGGCATTGACCATTATGTTAGATGTTATTTGAGCCCAAGTCTCTTAAATATGACCCTCCATGTCTTTCCACTCCTAAGTATGTCATAAACGAGTCTCCAAAGTTTCCTAGGTTTTTTGTTTGTTTCCTGGTTACTCCCCTGTGGATATTGTGGTTCCCCAAATTTGTTAAGCTGGTTCACATCTTTAGGCCTCTATACATTGCCATGCCCTCTGCCTAGAAGAACTTGACCTCTCCTTTATTAAATTGTTTAGATAACTCCTGTTTATCCGCTCCCCCCCCCCTCCAAATCTGAGCTCAAGACAGGAGAGCACAAGGCTGAGTCAGCCGTGGAATCACACTGTCTGGGTGCAAATTTTGGTGGTGCCATTTACTCGCTGTTAAACCTGGTGTGGTAGCTTAACCTCTCAGTCCTTAGTTTTTCCATCTATATGATGGGGAAATTTTTAATGTTTATCTTCAAAGGCTGGCAAATAAGGAATGTAAATACCACACTGCTTAGAGAGTATTCAGTTTGCTGCTGCTCCCCCACCCTCCAATTTTATTTATTTATTTATTTATTAAAGGTTATTTATTTATTTTAAGCATAAAGGCTGGGGAGGGGTAGAGAGAGAGAGAGACAGACAGACAGAATCCCAAGCAGGCACCATGCTGTCAGCATAGAGCCTGACTCAGTGCTCAAACTCATGAACCATGAGATCATGACCTCAGCCGAGATCAAGAGTCGGATGCTTAATCAACTGAGGCACTCAGGTGCCCCAAATTTAGAATCATATTACCAATCTCCCCTGCTTCTCTAAAATTGCTTCTTTAAAAAAAATTTTTTTTTCTTAATGTTTTTATTTATTTTTGAGACTGAGAGAGACAGAGCATGAGCAGAGGAGGGGCAGAGAGAGGGGGAGACACAGAATCTGAAGCAGGTTCCGGGTTCTGGGCTGTCAGCACAGAGCCTGACGTGGGGCTCGAACTCACAGAGTGTGAGATCATTACCTGAGCTGAAGTCTGATGCTTAACCCACTGAGCCACCCAGGCACCCCTCTCTAAAACTGCTTCTTGATCATTCTGGAGTTTCCAAAATATCACCCATCCACGGAGAGAGGGAAATGGAGAGAACTGAGGGCAGGGGGGCAGGGAAGAGAGAAGAGCATAGAGTAAATAGAGAAAAACATCAGATATGGAGAAAACTTTGCCAGCTGAAGGGAAAGAAAGAATATTAAAATAAATGTATCAGTGTAGTTCTGGGAAGGGTTGGGGAAAGTAGAAGAGAAATAGCTAAAAATGACACCGCCTGTCCTGGCAGACATGTCCTGGCTCAGAAGCATCTGCTCTGCATCCAGGAACCAGCATAGGGGTCTGGAACCCAACACAGCAGCTCTGAGGGAAAAGGAAAACATGAGAAGAGCTGGCTTGAGAAGGAAGGAGGATGACAGGAATCATCTTTGTATAAATCCAAGTGGCAGTTGAGATGTATTTATGTTTTCAGGAATTAGTGACTTTTGTTTTTTTGAAAAAAAAAAAAAAAGGACAACACGTTTTTTTATACACTTCTTTTGCTTAGCAACAAGACCCACAAAAGGCATGTGTTCAGCCAGGATGTCAGTTGCTCAGCTCATTAAAATATTAAGTGAAACATTGATGACAATTACATAGCACAAGCCTTTTTGTCTGCCAAAGTGTGCCTTTCAGTGCATAACAAAGTAGGTCAAAAGTTTGTTTTGTTATTTTATTGTTGCTTTTTATCTTAGACTTTTGATGGAGTTTCCTTTTAGTAGGTAAAATGGTTGTCAAGTTTGGTGGAGATAATTTGAGGACAGGGACACTTCAGTGACTTAGATATCTACTTCTGGATGACAAAGAAAGGCTCCCTGAACTTCTCTCTGAGATGTCATCTATTTAAGAAAGATTTCTTTGGGCCTCTGTATCCTAGGTCTTGTGTTGGAAATACAGTACTGAACAAGATAGATACCAACCTCATCCTCATAATGATACCTTTAGCTCCTACTCAAGTCTGTTTATCTGGGCAATACCTTATGTTCAAAGCTCTCTCCCCAACACATAAAACATACACTTCTTAAGTCTTCCTCTGCCAAATTCTGCTATGAGAATTGAGTGTTGGTAGTCACTGAGATATTGATGGGAAAGGACAGTTATGTAAGTCACCTTCCCGTTGGCATTTGTATTCGGAATATATAAAAGTATACTCCTAGAATTACACAAAGCTTTA